GCCGAAGCGGGGGACAAGCCGAGGCTGGGGGTGGGGCGCTAAGGATTTCGGCAGAGTGGTGGGGGGCGGGCAGCAAGAGGCAGTGGGGGAGGGGGAGGGAAATTGCAGGCCAGAGCGGGCTGGGGGCGAGGGCGGACTCAGGGCAGTCTCCTGGCTCTTCCAAGTCACCAGGGCCTGTCTCCTCTCTGCTCTGCCCTGGCAGCCAGTTGGCCCCAGAGAGGATGTAAACCGAGGTGGTCGTGCTCCCCACTCTTGGTCCCAGGACCCTGTGTGGGGGCCGTGGGACCAGACAGATGATCACGGACTGACCCTGGGCTAGGTGGAAGGAAAGCTGGCCAGGACTGCAGCTGGAGGCCAGGGTGGGATGGGCCCAGATTCTCGTCCTTTCTCTGAGGACCCCACACAGGCCAGGGAGCAGGGCACTGCCTCCCAGGGGTGCAGGCTGCAGCTCCCCTCTCAGGTGCGAGCCTGGGAATCAAGGGGCCTGCCTTCACTCCCCCCCTCTCCTTTTAGAAATGCAGAATCAGAATCAGAGAGAGGGAGTGAATTTCCCTGGGTCACAGGGCACCACAGACCCCTGCCTGGGGATCTCTCTCCAGGCTTGCTGGGCGTGGGGGAGAGGGCACAGCCACTGGGACTTGTGTAGGTGACATCAGTAACCTCTGAGACCTTCAGTTCTTTGCTCAATAAAGTAGGCCTAGAGGTGTTCTGGTGACCAAGAGGGCAGTGAGGCCACAGGACCTGGCTTCTAGTCCACCACCCCTGGCAGGCTCAGCTAAGGATAAGCTGCTGTGACCACCCGGGGTCAACCTTGCCCCTCCCCAGACCCTTGGGCCCTCATGCCCACAGGCTTGCTCAGTTGTGCTCGGTCTTCTGGTCCTTGGTGGTGGCCATAGAAGGCAGAGGCCAGAGCAGCCCTCAACCGTTTTGGCCAGGTCACCCATCCTTTGGCCTTAGTTTTTCCATCTGTGAAGTAGAGGTGAGGTCTTGCTGAGGTGGCATTCAGGGGCACTGCGTGTCTCTAACACATGGATGGGGGAATGTCTCTACAGTGTGTGGGAAGTCCAAGGTGGTGGGGAAGATCTATGGGGGCCAGGATGCAGCAGCCGGCCAGTGGCCACGGCAGGCCAGCCTGCTCTACAAGGGCTTGCAACTCTGTGGAGCTGTCCTCATCGACTCCCACGGGCTGGCGTCAATGGCTCACTGCTTTCTCAAGTGAGTTCTCCTTCCCCAGGGCCCAGCAGAAGGGCTGGCAGGGGAGAATGCAAGAGACAAGGGCAGGGGTCCCATACCTTTCCCCTCTGGGCACTGCTCTGGACAGTCTGCTGCCACCAAGCCAGCGTGGTACCTGCCTTTGACCACGTTGCCTGAAGTCCCCTCTGCCTGGACTGTCCTCCCAACTCTCCACCCTTCATCTGTCCAGATCATCCTCCTCCATCCTGAGTTCTGGCAGGGAGCCTCTGCCTCCATGTCTGTCCCCTCCACCCCCAACGCAAATGTGCCCGAGATAATTGGCAGTGTTCTGTGTCTTGGCCACCTGCAGACCAGGACTTCTCCTTCCTGTCCCCCACATTCCTGTGAGTCAGACCCTAGGCAGGGACCTGGAACTCTGCACCAAAACCAGAGGCTAGATGATCCTTTTTTCTGTAAAACTGTGTGCCTGGAGGAGCCGTGCTGGGCAAAGTGGGTGGGAAGAGCAGGGCCCCTGACCTTGGAGAATGACACGAACTGTCAGAGTCTAACTCCTCTGGCCCTCCTGGGCCTGACTCGGTGCCCAGCTTCTGAATGGTTGTGGAGGGACCCCTAGAAGCAGAGAGCATCACAGTTCAGGTCAGGGAGTCTCAGCTTGGCTGCTCACTGGCCTTGAGACCCCAGTGGATCCTGTGAGCATCTATTCTGAGATTCACTCACCTTGAGACTGTCTATGGCACACGGAATGGCAAGGCCCCACATGGAGGTAGGTGTCTTCATTTTGTCAGGATGGTGAGGCACAACCTCTAAGAAATGTGATGCGGGAGAGAAATCCCAAAGTGGCGAGAGAGGCAGACCCGAAGGGGGGCATCCAGAGAGATGCTGCAGTCTGGGGAGAGGGCTAAGGAGCTGCAGGGGCTCACTAGGACTTAGGCATGAGGACTGTGGGGAGGGCCTTCCAGGTGGCCTGTGTGAACAAAGCCACGAAGGTGAGAACTTTCATCAGTCGTGTTCAGGAATGGTTAGCGCTTTAGTTTCCTGCTCTTGTCTGGGCATTTAACACATCCTTCATGAGTGCTTACAACCCAGTGAAAAGCCACCCTTGGGGAGGGCAGGAAAGATGGTTAGGCCAGGAGGCAGGCCATGGGGTGCCTCCAGAAGAGTCAAGCTGGTGCTAGGATTGAGACAGAGCTCCTTTTGTGTAAAATAGAAGGGCTTGATCGGATGACCCCCTCTTCCTCCGATTCAGGGTCGTGATAGTGAGGCCATATGTTCTAAGGCTGGGAGTAGAATATCCAAGAGGCGCTCTTGGCTATTAGAAAGGGGAGATAATGCTGCCTGGAATCATGATCCGATGGGGGGAGGGACCCAAAGAGCTGTGGACATAATGTGGATGTAGAAAGAGTGCTGCCCTGCGTCAGCTAGGCGGTGATCATGGGCCTTTCCTCCTCCAGCAAGTCCCAGGCTCCGGAGGACTATCGGGTTCTGTTGGGAAGTGCCCAGCTGTATCAGCAAACCCAGCACACTCAGAAAATGTCCTTGAACCGGATTATCACCCACCCAGACTCTGAGAAGTTCCGCGCCTTCGGGAGTGACATTGCCATGTTGCAGCTGTGCCTGCCTGTGAACTTTACTTCCCACATTGTCCGTGTCTGCCTCCCATCCCCAGACTGCAGCTGCCTGGGAACGCGTCCTGTCGGATGACTGGCTGGGGAATGCTCACCGAGGACAGTGAGGGGGCTGTGGGAGAGGTGGGGGGGGGCGAGGGGAGAGAGAGGAAGGAGGGGGAGGAGAGCGGGAAAGAAGAAGGGAAGGGTGTCCTAGCTAGGGAGAGAGGCCCAGGCTGGTTTCTAGAGCCATTGGACCTTGGCCCTCAACTCACTCCCATGACCTGCGAGATAAGGACCGGCCATGCTCGGGCCTTTCTGGTTTTGCAAGCCTGTGATTCCATAGCTTCAAAGCTCCTTGAGTTCCAGGCTCTGAAAGTCTGGGGATCTCAACTTTAAAAATCACCAAGCTGGGTTCCTTGAGACTTCATGGTTCTTGATTCTGAGATTTTTAGTCAGCCACGGATTGAGATGACTTAATTCAACTCAAAAGCCATGCTTTGGGGCTGGCCTGTTCTGGGTCACCACCACATGCCCCGATCTTCCCTTGCCATAGAGGGTGCTTGGGAAAGTGGAAAGAAAACCCACTGTAGCTTCTGATCGCTGAGGCTGCATGATCAAATTCGAACAATTATCACTTAGGAGTCTCTGAACCTCACTTTGCTCTTATCCTAACCTGGTTCTACTGTCTGCTTCATAGTCTTGTCAGGCAAACTGAATAACAGGAGAAAGAGGAGAAAGTCTGTAGTTTACTTTTTTGTTTAGGTTGATGGAAGAGAAATGCAGCAAAGGCTTATGCACAAAAGTCCTTGTTGAAAAAAAAGAGTGTTTATGGTTTGGGAAATGCTTATGGAATGATGTCTAAGAGAAGAAAAGGAGAATACATATTTGTAATTACTTGTAGGCTCATAACTTAGCACAATGTTTCTGATCACGGATGCTGCAGATATTTTGGACAGAACATGTATTCACTGAGCGGGGCTCCATGAGCATCCCGAGCCTTTGCCTGTGAGGTCAGGAGCACTCCCTGACCATCTGACAGCCGGCCCTAGCGTTCTCACACTTATAGACTGGTTATTCCTTGAGGACTGAACTCATGCAACATGTTTATTAATATCACAGTCTGTGCCCCAGGGCTGATACCACAGCATGGTGGCTGCCCTGGCCTGGGAAATGTCATGTCTTGCCTGTGGCTTCTGAACTGTTCTTCCAGCTCCATCTTGTGTGCCTTCACTTGTGATTAGGGTGGGGTGAGGAGTGAGTCTCCACAAGTCTATCTGAGTGTTACTTGAAAACACAAGTCACTTCCATGTTCAATATCTCCAGTGCCTTCTCATTTGCCCTTAGAATAAAATCTAAACTCGCTGCCTTGACAGTGGACCAGTACACATGTCAAGCACACAGAAATATTTCTAGCAAACCATTTATAGATAGACATAACAACGAACACCTGCATGCTGTTGTCACCCGTGCCCTTTCCCTACTGATTCTCCTCACATCCCCTATCCCTACTTTAACAATCAGTTTCAGGTTACAAAGGCAGCCTTAGCAGCCAGGCTTGCAGAGAATATTTTTGGAGCTGTTATGTGCCCTGAGTGTTTTCTCTGCTGACCTCTCAGCCTCGATTTTGTTGAGTATGACTAGAATGACTGAATCTGTATGCTCCATCACACTATGTATACGCAAAGAGTTGGGTTTGGAAGAATATATATTTTTCTTTTTGAGTTGGAGTTTCACTCTGTCGCCCAGACTGGAGTGGGTGGCCGCTCCTGGCCACCGCAGCCTCGACCTGCTGGGCTCTGGCGATCCTTCCGCCTCAGCCTTCCAAGTAGCTGGAATTACAGCCATGCGTTACCACGCCCGGCTGATTTTTTGATTTATTGTAGAGATGAGGTCTCGCTGCCCAGGCGGGTATCAAACCTGTGGGCTCAGGCAATCCACTCACCTCAGCCTCCCAAAGGCGTGGGATTACAGGCTGAGCCACCGAGCCCGACTTGGAAGAATATTTTACATATTTTTTTTTCACATGAATGTTAGAGGGATCATCTGCTTGTGCAGTTAGGATGGTGTATTTTGGGGGAGTGTGCAGTCTGTTTGGTTTTGGAGAATGTCGAGGGCCATTTTTGTATTCAGGGCGTGTATATTTATGTGTGTTCCTTTTCATGCCTTTCAGGAATTGTGTATGAGTATTTCAGTGTGTGAGAGTACATCTATGACTTTCGTGGACTTACAGGATGAGTATGTGCAGTTGTAAGGTCAGATTTGTATGAATCTGTATTCTGGACAGTGGAGGAATTACTTCTATGTGAGTACTTGTGAGTGTGTAATTGTGTTTGTGCCCATACTGTGGGGCTGTATGTGTATTTCAGGGTAGGGTGTGGTATGTTTGCATATTTGTAGTGTACTAGGTAATGGTGGGTCTTTTAGGGCAGATGAAGATATGTATTCAGTGTGTGTGTGTGTGTGTGTGTGTGTTTTCCAAGGAGCATGGCAGTTTGGATTAATATTTTGGGGTCATATGTTTGTAGAATAGAGTTCTATATTTACACAGGTGAGTAAGAGAACAGTATTTTTATGTATTAGAGGTATGTGATACAGCTATTTGTTAGTATTTGGGGATGTGGGAGCTGGTTCATACTAGACTTTGATACTTTGGGATATGGAAGTGGTTATGCATATTTATAAATGGTTTGCTAGAAATATTTCTGTGTGCTTGGCATGTGTACTGCTTTACGTGAATATCCAACAGCAAGTGGGTGAATTGTACTAGCTTATTTACAGAATACGGTATTCTTAGGCAGAAAGTGTATTTCACTGGAGAATACAAGGGCATTTCTACATGTATTTGAGAATACTTGGGGCATGAGTGGGGAGGTTGTATCCTGAAGATATAGGCTATCATATGGTGTTTGGGGAGATGTATATATTCAGGGATTGGCATTTGTATGTGTGTCTATGGGTTTGTGAAAGTTGTATATGTATGTTAGAGTGGCATCAGGTTGGTAGCTTGAAATTCGTCATGCTGGAATATTTACACGAGATAAACACCACAAATCTAGACTTTCCTACATCCCAGAGAGCATTTTATTAAGCATTTAGCAGCACACCACTGGTAGTGTGTCTCTCTGCGTGCATGTGTTTATGTGCATGCATGTGTGTGCATGTGTGTTTGGCATGTGTGAGCAGATGTTTGTATGAAGCAGGAATATTCAAGCATTAGGAGGTATGTGTACTGTGGACCATATGTGTATTGAGGGTTGGACACAGGCTGAGGTCTCTTGTGTGTGTGCCCTGACCCTGCTAATTCTGTCACTGTGTTGCTCCAAACCTGTTGGTTCATTCTTTAGGGCCAAAGACCCCACGAATATAGATGGTTTCTGTTTTTCACCCCACAGGTGGCTTCTGGGGTATCTCCACCTTAGTCAGGTGGTTTTTCCTTCAGAATCTGTGTGGGTTTGGCATGTAGGTCCTGGGATGGGTGGCCATGGTGAACAGAATGCTGTGCAAAGCCAAACATTCGTAGGCATTGTCCACGTGATGGACACAATCAGAAAGTTTGGGAGTTTCCTAGACAAGAGGTCGGATGTGCCAAGTGCTCTTCCAGTGCTGATGGCACTGCTGGCTCCTTTGGGGGCATGGCTGGTGGGCGAGGGCACACTCCACCATGGGGTTCAGTGTGGAAAACCATCATTTTGTGCCAGTAGCTTCTGAACTGTTCTCCATCCTCCACCTTGTGAACCTCCACTTGCGTCCACACACCTACCAGAGTGTCCCTTGAAAACACAAGTCACTTCCATGTTCCCTCCCCTTCCCAACCCCACCTGCCTCCCTCTCCCTCCCTGTCCCCTCCTGCCTTCCTCATTTTCCCCTCCCAGTTGCTGTCCCCTCCCCTTCCCCATCCCCTATGGCCTCCCTCTCTTCCCCCATCCCGGCTGCCTCCCTCTCCGTCCCCACCCCTTCCTGCCTTCCTCATCCCCTCCCCAAACACTTGGGCCTCTTTGCTGCTGCTGAATGTGCTAAGGCATTTCCCCTCATAACGTCTTTTGCTTTGCTGCTTTTCCTGCCTAGCTTGCTATCCCTCCAATCTTGGTGTGATTGTTTCTTCCTTAGATTTACAATTCAGCTCCCCTCCGAGGAGTTCAACTTAATTATGTGAGCTAAAATAGGCATCCCCTGCTATCACATACCCCTGTTTTATTTCCTTTATGCCATTTAATCTAAAGTAATTTTATTTCATTTACTCTGTCCCTACCAACTGAAAACATTTCTCTATATATTAGCATCCAAGAGATACCTAGCATAAGGTTTGTTGACTATGTGAGTGATGGGGTCAGTAGATGTATGGGTGGGTGAGTGGGAGAATGAATGAATGGTTGGAAGGGAAAGTGCATGGATGGACAGATGATGTTAGAGTGGGTGGATGGATGTGTGACTACATATGTAGATTGAAGGATGGGCGGGTGGGTGGATGGATGGAGTAGTGTCAATAGATGGAAGGGAGGGTG